TTGGGTGTCTTCGAGTCCAGAGTGAACAGGTTACTCAGAGGTGTGCTCCATCGTCGGCCACATCATCGCTTACCACCAGGCGAGATGGTGGTCAAACATCGACCTATAAAGTTTAAAAAATGAAATACATATTTTTTAAGACGGGAAATTCATCAAGTGAACCGTGTCTACTCTTGCACTTCAAACCAGGACCTGGAATTGGAACCCCGGTAACTTTTTACATTCTCCGTGGCTCCGTATTCTTCATATACTTATACCTACAGGGTTATTTTGAGACCTGATAAATAATGTCACCTTGATTTACATTACTACAACAATAAACACGCTTTCACGTTAAAAATATTAGAATGAATAATTTTATTTTATGGATCCATAAATATCAAATTACGTGGTCTCATTAAGTTTAATGGCTCCCAGTCGCATAATTCTTCTTTAAAGGACAAAAACTTTGTTCTGAATTTGTACATCATAATGCGGAAATGAGAGAGCTATTGTTGGGAAATGCATTCAAACCAGGAAAAGGGATCCCATATGAAGATATTTCATTACAAACGAGTATACCCCAAAATATGTTGTTTCCTGAACTATGGGAGATATTAGGCAACCTTCCCGTTATTCATATATGACATGGAATCCCATAAAAGGGACCAAGTATTATTTTTACGGTTTAATTTTCTTATTTGCAGTCAGATCTTTGTCTAAAAGGGTCGTGAATTGAGCATTTTATGGTGCCTTTTTTTTTTTTTTTTTTTTTAAGGGGGGAAAATCATCGAATGACTGCTCCCGCCCGGGTGAGGCGGAAGGGAGTGTCAGACTCTTACTGACTAAAAACCACCCCGTTCCTTCTCCTGCACGTCGAGCCGGAGCCCCGGTTACCCGTTAGGTTCTCCGCGAGGGGGTCATTGATAATATTGGTACTCAGCTGTCAAGGCTTCTGGCCTTGCTCCAATTTATTTGAAGGTCGTTACAGCCCATCTTTTGTTTGCATACAATCTCCATCATGCATTATGTGTGTATGTGTAGTCAAGGACGTTGAAAAAGAGGCGGACACAGTCTCTTAAAGTGAACGACTGTGGTGCCTGGCGACTGTAGATTAACTTGCAAAACATACACACTATATCATTTCTGAGTTCATTGCGCCCGCCTTTTTTCCTAAAGTCCACCACGTCAAGCGACATGACAGCTCGCCACTTGCAACCATTGACTATCCGCAACTTTGACGCTGTCGTCGGTCCACTTAGCGGGAGGCCTGGTCTCCACTCGGGCGTTTCCTGGCCCATCTGCCATCAGTCCTTCGAGCGATGTGACCTGTACAATGTCGAGTCGGCCTGCAGATTTTGTGACCTATATTGGTAAGTCTAGAAGAACTATAATGACATCATATTAAATATTAAAAAAATACTTTAAGTCGATTTACCTGTAAAATTATATTTAAGTCGAGATAAGTAGACCAGCTAACAATTGGGTTCCTAAATAATGTTATCCTCCCATTAAATGATTTTCATGTGGGGTTCGGGTACGGATGTGACAAAACATTTGAGAGCACTAATTTTTATCTAGATAGCAAATATGCAGCAGGCTACATGACGGAGATAATAGTGTGTAACGCTATTATAAGGAGTTAGCCTAAGGACTCACGACGCGATTTTTTCCCGCGGCCGCCGCGGTTGCTGGTTCACAGCATTTGTAGAATACAGATATGTATGTTGGCTAATAATAATAATCTAATTAACGTTCCCTAGTCTCTGCATACCCCCATGAGAGACAGGCGTGAAGTTATGTATGTGTATATGTATATGTATGTAATAAATCAAAGCATATTTTACGGCGCGTTTTGCGCTTGTGGCTGTTGCGATTATTTGCGGCACCAGCTGCACAGGCGGGTGCGATCGCGGTCCCGCAGCTGCGATCGGTTGGCGGGCGATTTCAATGAGACGGCCGCCCGGTCTGGAAATCAACTGATTGTATACACCCATTGTTATCGATAATAATTAATCAACTGCCAAATTTGCAGGCGATAATTCCAACCGCAGCGGCTGCAAAACTGCAGAAAACTGCGGTCCGTGAGTTTAAAAAATTCTGCCTCCATTCCGCCACGCAGCGGGTGCTGAGAAAATCACGCCATGAGTCCTTAGCCTTACTAGCACATTAAATGATGGTACTTGATTTGTTCCAGATAACAATAAGTAGAATAGTTGGATCTATTATCACACGAGGAGTACAAGGACGGATATCCTTCAGAAGTAAATAAGTAAGTAGTAATTAGCTTCCATTACAATCATGGTATCCTATTAGTCTTAGCGCCGGTTTCACCACCTCCATATAAGTACCTGATAAACTTATGTGACAGATACATACATACATAACTTCACGCCTGTCTCCCATGGGGGTAGGCAGAGACTAAGGAACGCCAATTACTACGATTCTTACATATCTCTTTGGCTTCATTAACAGTCATTAATCTTTTCATGCATGCTCGTCGGTTAAGGGTACTTTTAATTTGACCCTTCTTTAATATATCGCCAATCTGGTCACTATATGTCCGTCTAGGGCGCTCTCTTCTGACGACATGACAGATAGTTCATACAAATTACGTTCTTAATTCTAATTTATCTGGTAGATGACGGTTATCCAGATATTGTGAAACAGGTCCTAAGTATTCTTATTATAAATGCGAAACTTCGATCTTTCTGTTAGTAAATATAAACATTCAACAAGATTTGCTGAGAGACATATGTTTTTGTAGACAAGGCATGTCTGTATTAACAGTTTGTCACGTCTTAGAACTTTCTAGACAACGCATAAAACGAAGAAATATACCATTTACTAAACAACCCCTTTATAAATTCTCAAAATGTTATTATTTGTCTATTTCTCTGCAATCATTTAGATTTATGCATTGTCTCTGACGTCTGCAATTCGTTCGTCATTTCATTCCTAAAATGTTAGTTACCCACGATAAAATATCTTGGTAAGAGCGACTAGAAGCGAGCACTATGGGTTCTGCATTATTTTTTTCAAATGTTTACTTAAAGTTTTCGATGTTTTACGGCACCATTTTTATTAATAGGTTTCTATTTATCACCTTAAAAATCCAATATAAGTACTAATGTAATTTTTAAACCGTTTCCCCACACTAGGATTTATTCCTGCGCCGTAAGTACTTTTACAAACATACGATATCACATACACTGACCCGAAACAACAATTTATGGATCACACAAAGAGTTTTTTCGTGCGGGAATCGAACCCGCTACACGTTGCGCGGCAGTCCAGCCACCGCGCCAACCGCGCAATAACAAAGCTAAAAAGTTTTTATGTTTATTTGTTTGAATGCTTTAATATCCGAAAGTACTGGTTCTAATTGGATTATTTTATTTTGTATTTAGCATTGTATAGTCCACTTATCGAATAAATCTATTTCGATCATCGAGATATAAGTACTAACGTACATTTCGATGCATCTCAAATATTTTCGTCCACTCAAACTGATAGACAAGAATATAGACAAACATTTTTATTTAAAACTCATTCCATCAGTACCGAACCCCAAAGTAAGTCATTCACCTCACAGTACTCCATCTCATTCAAGCTCTCAGGTTTCATTTTCCTTAAAATGGGTTCACGTTTCGAAGCGCCAATATTTTAGGCAAAAAATCTACTTTCAACTTGCACATAGTGCTGAAATGTGATCCGGGTGGTCCCAAGGGACTTGTTCTGCCTTGTTGCTTTTTCTTTTTCTAGACTACACTTAAGACCTGAATATGAATAAGGTTTAATACAAAGAGACCTTGTTTTGTGTCCTGAATTTAATATTCAACTCAGTCTTTCAAAATTTAACAATAGTCTTGCTTTGGGTAGTGACCTTTTTATACCAAGATTTGTCCGATTAACATATTTCGTAAAGACGAGGCGAGATGTCAATGTGCAAAATGAATATTTTCCCAAAATTAATTAATAAAGTGTAATCGTCGCCTTATAAATCCTCATTTACAATTTGATAGTAATTAATTACCAAATTTCTGTGTAGTAGGAAACCAGACAAACTTTTAATAAGTCTTAAAGGGCAAATACCTTTGACATCTTAAATTAATTGGCGATCTTAATAAATATAATTGGTTGCTGAAGCCTTAAGTACCGGCCTACTCGAAAAATATTATATTTACTTTAATTATACCTCTAATAAGACCAACGACGATGTTGAATTTCTTTTTATTTTCTAGAATGGTACAATGTCTTTACATTTTAAAATTTTATGTTTTTGATGCACTACAAACAGATACAAATGTTCAGAAAATTATTTTCATCCCCTAACAATGTAATTGTAGTGTCTTTTATTATTTTAATTAATTACACGAAATATTTCAAAGGTAAATTGAAAAGACTAATGACAGTTGTTTCGATGAAGGGAAAGATACCTCTTTTTTAGACGGTACGAAGTTTGCCAGGTCAGCTAGTTTATAAACACCAACCCGCATTGAGCAAGCATGGTGATTAATGCTCAAAACTTCTCCGTGTGAGAAAAGGTCTTTTGTCAGTAGTGGCCACTTATAGGGTGTTGATGTGTATGATGTGTTTTAGACTGTTGATGAAGCGAAAGAGGTATATAAGAATCGTAGCAATTGTCGTTCAATAATCTGTACCTACCCCCATAGAAAACAAGCATGAAGTTTAAAGAAGCCCTTCATATTAAAGTGATTGCATGTATTTCAAGATATTAGATAAACCCAAACATATATTATCACTTGTTGATTCCTTCATGAAATGATTTCGTATTCAAAAGAGGTTTATTACTATTTATCCAACACTGACCGTTTTTCTGACATTTCAAGTGAACGTTTAAAAAAGAACCTAACAATTTCGAGGTTATTCAACTGTCAAATCGTTTTATGTATTTTGTGATCGACGAACAAAAAAATCAACGAACCAAATATTTATTTATATGTTTCAATTGATTTTTTTATTGGCCACGTGACCGGGATTGTTAGATATTATATTATATGTATCAGAAAAAGATATCAAATGTTACGTTATGGTATTTACTGATTCTACACATTCGGGTTTCTGGATACACAGGTATTTGTAGCTAATGGATTTTTCGATTGATGTTAGCAGAATTTGCATGTAAAACGGGGAATAATTTTAGGTGTAGAATACATTTTAGAACGTGACCGGTATCTTCGTGTTGCATAGAAATTTTGTACCACGCTTAGTCGTTCGTTAATCTAATTAAGTTGTTAGTAAGTCTTGTAGATTATAGTGGTTTGGTTGCATAACATTATCATATTATACATTTTGTACGTGGAGCGGTAAACTTTACAAAACACACGTAGTTTGAACGCTGTGTTTTAGTTTGTAGAGAAGCTACGGAAATGCGATCTCAAAGTTCGTTCCGTCAACATGACATGGATTATGAATATGTTGATTTTACTTATAAGATCGTCCCGATTGTAATAACTTTTAAGTTTAAATAATAAAATGAACAGAATAAACCTAATACTGAACTCTTAAATAAACGTATTTTACGGATTGCGAAGAAACAATATCATGAAAAATTCTATCTTTTGAAGCCCAGTGAATGGTTGGATTCGCCATATGATGAAGAATTAATACACCGAAGATGGCTTTAATTGTTTTCAATTGTCTTATCTCAAACTCGGATTTAAACCGACTAAAACAAAAAAGATTTTTCAGGATATCTACACATTAGACAGGCATTAGATTACAATCTTAGAGACTTAACTTATAAAATAAAAAAAAATACATTAAGCCTTTAGTGGTGTAGTTACAATTAACAAAAAAAAATTACAGATAAAACCAAAGTTGTAACAAAGAAGTAAGAAATAAAGCAGACTTAAAAACTAAGTACTTTTACATAATCTTAGATATTTCAGGACATCTACGTATCAGACAGGCATTAAAATATAACCTCAGTGACTTAACCTGAATTAAATTTATTTGTTACACAAATCCTGGCCTAAAGTTACTTTAGAAAAAAAATCTCGAATTTCATGCAAACTTTTGAGTTTCCACACTTCTTGCGATTCAATATTACTAAAATATATTTTAGTAATAGGTATTTCACCAAATAAGACGCTCAACACTTAACGCTTGACGACTTCTTACATCTAACGTAATACTTACATGTTTGTATGTACTGAACAGAGGTTCATATTTATCTATATTTTGCAAATGAAAAACAAGTCGTGCGATAGTAATCATACGCCTACACTACCTAGCATTTTAATAACTTTCTTAGAAGACCTACAGGCTTACTTTATCTTTGTATGTCATCACGACTTTAATATAACCTTTCCAATTTGTTCTTATAGTTGTATTGAACTGTCGAAGTGTGATCTTGTAGCAGATATTAGGAGAATTCGAAACGTATGGTAGTTACTTACGACGCGATAGGAAGAGAGACTAGGCATATTTTTTCCAATCAAATGAATAGTTAGTTATAGTACGAGAGATGACGACCAAAACCATGTCTCAAAGCAATACGGCCAAAACCGCCTCAAATCGATAGATACGATTATCCTGGACTCGAAAATACCAATATCAGACATTTTCCGCGTAGCGTTTGATCTGACCACAAAAACACCAGACAAAAAAAATGTCTCATAGCAATACGTCTGAAAACCTTTTTCATTATTTTTTAACCTTTTTTAATTTTGGTCGTCATCTCTCGTACTATTAGAGTTTATAACTTTTGAATGGAATCTATTCTGAAAGAGTTGACAATGGCCTCATTGGTTATGTTAGGGTGCGTCCACATCTGATGAATATGCAGTTCGCGAGCCGTTTGCGAGCTGCTCGCGATCTACGCGAGTGGGGAAACGGCAATAGCTTGGTACTCCTCTTTAGTGCAAATCATGCTAGTTTAATATAAATAACAATTTTAATCCTTTGAGTACCGTCATTATTGACACAATTAAAGAACAATAGGTTGCGGTCACCAGTGTCCTCGCGGTGTTTGACAGTTTAAATGCACGCGTGCAGCTCGCGAGCTCTCACATTCACGGAAAATTCGCCAGATGTGGACATACCCTTAGGTAAAGATATAAAGATTTCAATGGTCATAGGTTCATTTCTGTTAGCTAAGACAGTGAGCAAAGGTTTATAGATACACTGGCAATTTCCTAATACTCAGATTTGCGACCACTCGACCTAGGCAGTTAATTTATCACGTTAACTTATATCCGTATGAAATTGTTCCCCAAAATGATGAATTCCATTAGCATCCAGTGCGTGTTTAGAGTTCTGATCTACCCAAACGTGCTATTAATCTGTCCACTTCAAATTCCGATACCGTTAGTCTCCTATTGATTACGTTGTTAAAATTAATCGAATTTCTGGCTTTATCGGCAAATGGACAATGGACAGATTTGCTTTATTGAATTTGTAATTGTATTCTAATTTCAAAGTTACTGATATGTTTCATGACTTTGTTTTTGAAGAGAAAATTCACGGCAGATTCCGATAAAACCTAGAGCAAGCTTCTTTTGGTGCCTTTTTAACCTGGCACCCTCCCTGCTATTCCGTTTGATATATTACGTCATACAAAAATATAGCAAACTAGCAAACCCGGCGAACTCCGTTTCGCCAACAGATGGCATCGTTTTATGTAACATTTCATTTGGTGATTAAAAGATGAAAAACATTTTTGATCCTGATTTTTTTTTTCGCTATAAACCTCACGGAGCCCGAGACTTTTCCAACGAAAGCAAAACCGTGGAAATCGGTTCGTACGTTCTGGAATTATAGCGTCAGGAAGGAAAACCCGACTTATTTTTATATAGTGGATAACAGTCCAATACTCCATTCTCTATCTTGAAATCGCGTTATAAGGTCGCACAAGTCATATTACATATGTCGAAATGGTCCGGATGGTCAAAGGTTGTGGTATCAGATATTCGTATACCGGGGCGTTTAGCTGGAAGTTTGCCAACTATTACCAACTACACAACGTTCACCTAACCAGAATCATAACTAGAAAATTTGATTTATTGCAATTGAGGAATTAGAAATTCAATTAAGAGTTTTTTCTATGTGTAAGTGTGGGAGAACAATGCTTCGGCACTAATGGGCCGGCTCGACCGGAGTGATACCACGGCCTCACAGAAAACCGCTTGCAACGCCTCTGGTGTTCCAGTATCCATGAGCGACGCCGATTGCTTACCATCAGGTGATCCGTCTGCTCGTTTACCGGCTTATACCATAAAAAAATATGACTGAAAACCAATTGGTGTTTGAATTGGTGTCACAATTTTTTCTTGAACAATAGTTCTTAATTTTCCAGACTCTTTAGACCATCAGCCTCACAGATATAATAATTTTATTCTGCCCAGAGCACATCACCCATATATCCCCAAGCGGTCACTGGTGACCGCTCTCCACTAACTACATTATAGACCTTATTTCCAACGTTTAGAGACTATTTTGGATGAACAAATTTAGGGGACGATTTTCAACGGAATGTTTTCTTCATACTTTTTTAGTACGTACTGTAGAGGTCTATTGCGCATAAGTTACGAAGCGATGTTACGATTTTAGTTTAACATATTCTAGAACCTTCGATATTCAATCGAAAGCTGTAGAATTTGTTCCTCTGTTGCTATGTTTCTATCTGTTTCGTGTTTTGACTTCGAAACTTACTTATTAGCATTTAAAATTACCGTATGTTATTAACCTCTGTGTTCAATTGAAATTGAGCTCAATTCTTATCGCACTAAGGCTTAATTATTATATACATTACTCGTTGATTAGGCTTTTGAACCATTGAATATGATACATGTGTAATTATTACGTGAAGTATACACCGTAATACTAATTCAGGTTTGTTTACCGCAAAATTATGTTGGTTTTGTAAAATTTTCGATATTAGATTTTTTGTTCGTAAAAATTATATTTTTGTTACTTTTGTTGGATTTCTGAGTCTTTTGTCGCTTTTGTACTCTAGGAATCTGAAGCCCCGATGTTATGTGGAGTGATATTCAATAGTCGAGAGTATTTCAATTTCAGTACTTTACTAGGTAGATTCTTCATACTAGTGCGATATTCAAGTTTAGATAGAACTAAGGTTTATCTAGTTTTTCGATTACTCAGTACACAGAATACCAAAACGACAATCAAACAGATGTCTGTTTGAGAGTACAGAGTGAACTATGTAGTTCATTATATCATCATCATCAACAGCCTATAAGGGCTGCCACATCAGTGCCACATCAGTGATGTCTAAATAATCTTAGAAAGTACATATGACTCGGAAAAAGTCATTTTGGTATTTGCCTTATGCTTGAGAAGCGGGCGTCTTAGCCTCCGGGCCACCACGACACAACTCTGTACTACCAACTCAATTAATAATAATAAAAAAAGAAAAAATAAACTCACCAGTCAATAAGTCACTAAGTCACGTTTGTCACTAAACGATAAATTTTAAATATTGGGTATCAAAATCATTCAATATTAAGAGACTAACTGTTGCACGCGACCTCGTTGGCGTAGAATATAATTCCTTTTTTATCCCAAGGGATTATTTCAACCATTTAATTGGGATGAAAGTACCTTATCACCAAAGTCAGCATATCCTGCTTGTGTACCAAATTTCATCAAAATCCGTGCAGTAGGTCCACCGGATCCGTGCGTAAGGACAAACATCCAAACAAAGAAACTTTCACATAACATAACATCACGCCTTTTATCCACAAAGGGGTAGGCAGAGGTGTACATTATGCGACTGTACAATGTAACACTCATTTTTCACTATTTACCATGTAATAGGGGGTGAGCCTATTGCCATATACCGGACACAATTCTAGACCCCGTGCTACTACTGACAATTTTTTAAAAACCTAGTAATGCCTACCCGGGAATCGAACCCAAGACCCCTTGCCCAGCAGTCGCACTTGCGACCACTCGGCCAACGAGGTAGTCGAAACTTTCACATTTATAATTTTAGTGTGATAAAGACATTTCTTAAAGAAAAAGATTAGTATTACAATTTATCAATGGATTTCATTACACAAACTGTCTCCTAAACCATTATTGTACAGAATGTCCTCGATAAAGATTCG